GGGGGAGTAAAAGGGGGTAGGGAGCACACGACATGCAAAGGAGGAGAGTTAAAAAAAACGCGACGCCGGAAGGGCGGTACAAACTCGAGATTGTTTTATACACGCCTGACACGTGATAACGCTATTAATGTCTCCCACCCATGCAGCCCCGTGCCTTCTTTTTAAAACTAACACACGACGTCTCGCGCTTTTCTCCCCCCACGACAGGTGGCGATCGCTACGAACGCGCTGGACACGGCCATGGCCCCCACCTCCGTGGCGGGCTGCCCTTGCATCAACGAGAGCTTCAGCGCCGCCGGCGGCACCGGTCACTTGATGTCCCTCGTGACCGCCGTCGGCCAGGACGAACCGGAAGACAGGTGAGGAAGGTGTTGGTGGTGGTGTTTGTGTGTGTGTGCTGCTCGGGGGCGAGTTTGAGCGTCGGCCGGGGAACAATCATGACGGCCGCAACCGTCTAATGCTCGTCGGTGTCTGTGAGGAATTAATCTCGTTGAGTTATTGCGGGTCGGGAGAGGGTACTTTGGTATTGTTACCCGGGTTCCGTTCCGTGTATTTCCGGCATTGCATTCACACGGGGGGTGAGGCTGAGGGCTGAGGTGGGCGCCTCAGCGTAGAGGGTGGTTGATGGATCGTGGGACTCCGCTGCCTGAGGGGCCCGTCCGCAAATCGAGGTGAGGGCGAACTTTATTCAAATGCTAACAACAGTTGATAGACTACTAGACTGTGTTGACGTTTTACTGCAACGGAGGAAAGAAAAGACGACACTATGGCTGCCCATTTTACCATATGGCATCCTTCAGACTTTCCGTTCCTTGGCCGGGGTGGTCTCGAGAGATACTGCTGAAACGTCCTAATAACGATGTAATTTGTGTACGAACCCTGGAGGTTGGGTGATGGATGGTGGGACCCGAGTCGGCCGCTTGGGGCCCCGCGGCTGGACTTGGCGGTATACCCCGCCCCGCCCCACCCCTCCGCCCCGGTGAAAGGGGAGCACCACTGCTAATTACTCCTCAGCGAGTCACGTGACTATTGTGAGTCTGTTGAGCGGCGGAGGGCGGGAGGTGAGTGGGGAATTACCTACTGCACTGTGCGGCCCCTTCTTGCCCCCTACGGAGGGGGTGGGGGGTGCTCTACGAGAGTAAGGGGGATCAGCTCGACTCGAACAACCTTTCCAGCCGCGCAGAATATGGGGCGCGGAGCGTTAGCTATCGGCCGTGGTTGCGCTGAAAGGCAAGGGGTGGTGAGGGAGAGGGAGAGAGGGGACGATTGTATGAATGCTGCGGTTTCTAATTCGAGTAGTTCGAGTAGTTGTTCAAGTAGTGGTGCGAACTGCGCGCCTGGGCTGGGCTAAGTTGCTTGCACATCCCTATAATGGGTGGAGATGGGGGAGGGGGGGGGGGGTAATTACCGCTCGAGTGGTAGTATTTAGTCCGTGAAAGTCCGTGGCTTTATGAAACGCTCTGCTGCTGGTCGTCCTGCTGCTCCTCGTTTACCCCCTGCTCCTTGTCCGCCGCTGCCGCAGTGTGTTCGCCCTGTACCGGCTGTCGTACCTGTGGTACACCATGCTGGGCACCGTCGTCACCGTCGTCGTGGGACTGGTAGTGTCGGCGCTGACGACGCCCCAGGACCCCTGCACGCTGCACCCGGACCTGCTCGCTCCGCCCGTCAGGACGTTCCTCGCCGCGCTGCCCAACTCAATCAAGGAGATCCTCAACCTGCCTATCGAGGTGAGTGTGCTCCTTGGTGTGCTCCTTTGGTGTGCTCCTTTGGTGTGCTCCTTTGGTGTGCTCCTTTGGTGTGCTCC